ATTGTCCAGAATAATCCCACCTTTAGGCCGTCCGCTAAAAATAATCTCACCTTTGGATTATTTTTAAATAATCCCACCTTTATACCCACCCCGCTATAAATGGTCCCAACCGGTCATTTAACTTGTTATAACAAGTTACCATACACGTGGCAACCTGTAATTGGTTAAAAAAATAAAAATAAAAATAAAAATAAAATAAATCTTTTTTTAAAAAAAGTAAAATAAAAAATTAATATTTAAAAACCATCAACCACCCAAGCCAACCCCTACCCCAGCCACGCGACACCGGCGAGCCACGCTGCTCCGGCCAACCACGCGGCTCTAGCCATCCACGACAACCTCCGCCGTTACTCCTTCCCCAGAACCACCCCAACCCTCTCCCTCACTCCTTCCCCCGCGAAAACCCAGGTAAGCCACTGAACTCGCCGTTCCTCGATTCCACCCCGTCGACCACCCCAGCCACCATAGCCGGCTATGCCGACCTCTGTAGTATTTTAAATCGGACACGCTGACCTCCCTTGTATCCCGATGCCGGCCTCGCTAACCACCCCTGCCCTCGATTTCAGACGCGCTGACCTCCCCCATCCTCCGCCCTCGATTCCAGCCGCGCCGATATCTTCCGTCCTCCCCTTGGTTTGGTGGTTTTCAAATAGTCTTGGGTTAATGGGGTATTTTCGAAGGGTGTTGATCGAGGTTGGGTTGGCTGGCTGGGATGCCGGTAGGCGTGGTCAGGTGGCGGCGGTTTTGGGTTTGGGTGGGATGGTGGTTCCAGGTTTTGGATTTGGGTCTGGTTGGTGGTGGTGGTGGGGATGGTGGTGTGGCTGAAGTGGTGGAGCGTGTTGTTTTTCTTTTTAATTTTTCTTTTTTTAATTTTTTTTTTACCAATCAAGAGGCAACAAGTGTAAATTAATTTTTTTTAAAAAAAAAATACTAAAAAAAAACCTATTCAACCGGTTACAAGTCACCTGGGACCATTTAAAGAAGACTGGCATTAAAGGTCGGATTATTAAAAAATAATCCAAAGGTGGGATTATTTTTAGCGGACGGCCCAAAGGTGGGATTATTCCGGGCAATTTTTCCTTTTTTGAAAGCAAAATATCGAATTAAGGAGTATTGGTTGATCTCCCCTATTACATTAATGGCGGAAATTTAGTGTGACGCCACTCCTTGTATTAGGCAATTAATGATTTTAGAGAGAAAATAAAAAAGTTTACCTGTTGATAATCATCGTAAAAGGTAACCGATTTTCAGGAATGTTTTGAGAAGGTTACACTTAAAATTTGGATTATTTTCAGATTTTTAAAAGTTGGGATTATTTTGAGAAGACATGTAAAAGTGAGATTATTTATGTGAATTTTTTTTTTCTTTTAAAGATTAGTAGAGTTTTTTTTTTGTTTTTCAGTGTCTAAAGAATGACCATTTTTTTTTTGTCAACAAATTTTAATTTGGATTAATACCATTTTTTAATCCCAACTTTCACCAATTTATTTTTATTAATCCCAACTTTCGATTATTCCTCAATAATCCCAACTTTAAGGTGGGTTATCATTCTTCATACCCAAACCGGTCAACAAAAGTCAATGACCTCTTATTCTAGGTCACTTGACACGTGTCAAGTTGTAATTGGTTCAAAAAAATAAAAAAAAATATTAAAAAAATAAAGAAAAATTCAATAAAAAAAAAATAGAAAAAAAAACCCAACCAAGCCACCACCAGCCCACAACCGCTGGCGGTGGCCACTCACCCAAAACCACCATCTCCGTAGCCCCAGCCCCCAAAACCTCCCCAGGTTCGCCCTACCCCCGCGAAACCGGCCCACCTCTGCCTTCCCCTGAACTAGCCATAGCCAAAAGCTTTGCCTTGAAACCGCCACCCATAAACCTGAAACCACCATAACCAAAGCCTACGACCTCGAAACCGCCACCCGTAACCCCCGATACCACCTGTAACAACAACCCTGACCTTCGAAATCACTTCTCCAACCCCCAAAACCACCAAAAATACAGCCCCCTCACTTTCTTTCTCCTCCAATTGCCGGACAATGCAAACGATGGTAAGTTGAGGGGTGGCCGATTGTGGGTCATCATTGTTGGTGGTGGGTTAAGGGGGAGGCTCGGTGTCCGATTGTGGGTTGTTGGTGGTGGTTGGTTGAGGGGGTGGCTTTGTTGTGTGGGTCGCAAATGATGGTCGGATTCAGGGGTGGTGGTTTCGGGGTTTCAAGGGTGGTTAGAGTTTCAGGGTTGCTGGTTTTAGGTGGGTATGGGAGAAGGGAAGGGGAGGGTTGGTCTAAAAAGGGTGAAGGGGGTGGTCGGAAAGGTAAGGGGAAGGGGGAGGGGAGGGGCGGTCAGGAAAGGGAGGGGAAGGGGAGGGGTGCTGCGGTGGGGTGACGGTGAGGGGAGGTAGGTTGATTGGTGGTGGTTGCCATGGCAGGTAATAGCCATGGATGAACAACAAAAGGGAGGAGAGAGAAAATGGGTCTTTGGGTTTTTTTCTTTTTTTAAATTTTATTTTAGTTAATTTATTTTTATTTTGATAAATCAATTAGCATGCAACACGTGTCAAATAAATGGTTTTAAATTTTTTTTAACCTTTTTTTCAAGTAACTGGTAATCCGGACCGAAGAATGAAAATGCACCCTAAAGTTAAGATTATTGCGAAATAATCGAAAGTTGGGATTAATAAAAATAAATTGGTGAAAGTTGGAATTAAAAAATGGTATTAATCCTTTTAATTTTGAAATTCATCATTTTGGAGTTTATGTGGCTGACTGGTCATATACTTTGTACAATCAACCAATACTTTTTTTTTTAGATCATGGTATTTATTTTAACTGGTATCCACAATACTTTTTTTTTTTTTTTTTTTTTTTTTTTTTTTTTTTGTGATTTTGTGTTGAATCTACATTTGTCCTCTTCTGGCTTTTCTATATATTTTTTCAATTTTGTTTCAACTAAAGTGTAAATATTTTTTTCCGAAAAAATCTCTTCTTTATCTCAAATGCTTCAAATCACTTCAAAAATACAATGATCAATTTTCATATATGTCTCTTGGTTTCTCTAAATTTCATTATACTTCGTATCATTTTTCAATTACACAAAAATTTAAGAGTTTATCTTTTCTCTCTATTTTTAACTTTTTCTCTATCTTCCCTCTCTCTCTACTATTCCTCTCTTTCACCCTAAATCTATTATTTATCTCAAGTAATTTAAAAAAAAAATTATTACTCTCAAGATCTATATAAACTTCAAGAAACAATAGTTATATAGAATTTAAAGGACTAGTCAAAGGTAATTTTCTCAACTCTATTTCAGTTCAATTTTTTTTTTTCAAATTTCTTTCCAAAATTAATCTTTGACTTTTTCATTGTTTTTTTTAAAAATGAATATGTTTCATTACATTTAAGTAGTATGTTATTTTACTCAAAAAATGTAATTCATTTAACATGTTTTGATTTAAAAAAAAATAATCTAAGAGCAATCCAAATACACAATAGTACGATTATTCTTTAATTAAATATATATTAGCCAAAAATTAATCCGTGCATGGCGCGGGCTATATACTAATTATTTTTGTAAACAAATTATGATTTAGAATTTTGTATGGACGTTTATTAAATATATGTTCGAGTATAAGTCTTACTTCATATTATCATATCATTATTTTTTGTTATATATGTTTCCTTTTCATTTTCAAAGAACTTTGTTTTTATTTACTTTTGACATTTTTTTTTTTTGTGATATTATGTTTAATCATTTTTAAACGTATTTTGTTTTAGAATTTTTACTAGCTTTATCTTTGTATATTTTTTCTTTTTCAATTTTAAAAATCCACTTTATAATTTTTTTTTTGTGGCTGGCCACACAGCCCACATTGTGTGGTTAGGGTTACTTATTCAGGGGTTACTCGGTCGATTACGGGTTACTCGGTTAGAGGTTTACTCAGTCGGTCAGGGATTACCCCTAAATAAGTAACTTCAGCCTCACGATGTGGCCAGCCACATAAAAAACTTTGTGTTTTGTTTTATATTTCCGATTCATTTTTCAAATTCTCGATTTTTATTTTATTTTTATATGATTTATTTTATTTTTTTTTAACTTCGTTTTAACAATTTTAATTTTTTTACTTTTGCTTTTGCTAAGTTTTTTATTAGGGATTTAGATCTTTTTAATTTACGTTATAAAATTTTAAATTTCGTCATTAGCTTTAATTTTGTTTTAAGTTTTCGTGTTTATTTTTTTTTATACTATTTTGATTTTTTTTTATTTTTGATTTTTTTTTTATTTTTTTATCTTATCCTAACTTTTGTGTATATATTGGTAAATTCAATATTTGGCTTCGCTAACAACTCCACCATTTAACTGTGTTTATTTGGTACATTTTTTCATATGAAAAACATAATGCAATACATTTTACGTACGTAGTATTTCATTTTACTAACTTCAATGCAATTTATATTTATATATTTTGATTTAAATTAAATATTAGAGCATTCCAAATATATAATAAAACAATTATTAAATAAAAAGATAGACATTCAATTAACAAATTTGACCCGTGCATTCACGGGCTAAATACAAGTAAATTGTTAAAATAATGAATAGTACTCAATTTATTTACTCTCTCCATCCCTAATTATGAGCTTGTATCCTTTTTGGAGATCCCAAAATTAAGAGTCTATTTCTATTTAAAGATTGTACTTTTTGATAATATTACCTTTTTTTTAATGAGTTGTCATCATTTATTTATACGAATGAAGTCGAATTTCTTAATTTTCATAAAAAACCCAAATAGACTTTTAATTCCTTTTTTTAATGAGTTGTCATCATTTATTTATACTAATGAAGTCAAATTTCTTAATTTTCATAAAACACTCAAATAGACTTTTAATTAAAAGACAGAGAAAGTATCAATTTGTCACAAGAATTTCGTTGATCTTGGTAATCAACTTGGATTTTCTCAAAATCAACCACGCACGCGCACATAAAACTACTCCATATAATGGTACGTTGAAGCAGAGTCCTCTAAAACGGGCTATTAAGAGAAAGCCCAAACTAAAACCAAGCATTTGACCTCCGCCTAAAGTCTTTCAAATAAACCCTAAATCACTCATCCACCCGAAAATGGCTGAATCATTGTGATTTCTTCAACACTTCCAAAGTTTATCACTCAAATAACCTCATTTCCATTGATTTCTCTCAGCTTATCTGAAAATGGCGAAACTTTCTTGCTCAAAAATGCAACATTTACGACCACCTAGGGTTTATCCTGGGTTTTATGGGATCTCGAGTAAATCCCCTTTAAATCTCATCAAACAATTTTGTTCTACTACTTCTGTTGATGACTCATTACCTGAATCTCTGTCCCCCATTGATCCAATCCAAGAAACAAGCAATGAAAGTGCAAAATCTGAAGGTGGTACTTTGGTTGAAGGTGGAACAGAGCACAAACAGAGGACTCCAAGAGGTAAGAATCGAAACCCAGAAAAAACTGAGGATATTATTGCTAGAATGATGGCTAATAGAGCTTGGACAACTCGTTTACAGAATTCAATTCGTAATTTAGTGCCTCAATTTGATCAATCTCTTGTATTGAATGTGTTGGATAGTTCCCGGAAGACGGAGCACGCGCTCCAGTTCTTCCGGTGGGTCGAACGATCGGGTTTATTTAAACATGATAGAGAGACCCATATGAAAATTATTGAGAGATTAGGCCGATCATTGAAGCTCAATCATGCCCGGGAAATCCTAATGGATATGCCGAAAAAGGGTGTTCCATTTGATGAAGATATGTTTGTTGTGTTGATTGAGAGTTATGGTAAGAATGAGATTGTTCAGGAGTCTGTAAAAATATTTCAGCAGATGAGGGAGTTGGGTGTGGAGAGGACTGGGAAATCATATGATGCTTTGTTTAAGGTGATATTGCGGCGAGGGAGGTATATGATGGCGAAACGGTACTATAATAAGATGTTGGAGGAGGGGATTGCACCTGCTAAGCATACATTTAATATCTTGTTGTGGGGTTTCTTTTTGTGTCAAAAAGCTGAGACTGCGAATAGGTTTTACGAGGATATGAGGAACCGAGGGATTATGCCTGATGTGGTTACGTATAATACAATGATTAATGGGTTTTATCGTTTGAAGAATATAGAAGAAGCGGAGAAGTTTTTCGTGGAGATGAAGGGAAAGAATATAGCACCTACTGTTATAAGCTATACTACTATGATTAAAGGTTATGTTGCCATGGGAAAGGTAGATGATGCTCTTAGAATGTTTCAGGAGATGAAGGATTTTGGTATCAGGCCAAATTCTGTCACATATTCAACGCTTTTGCCTGGGCTTTGTGATGCTAAGAAAACGTCTGAAGCTCAGATAATCTTGAGGGAGATGGTAGAGAGACATGCTGCTCCCAAGGATAATTCGATCTTCTTAAAGTTGTTGAACTGCCAGTGCGAGTCAGGTAACCTGGATGCTGCTGTGGATGTGCTTAAAGCAATGATTAGAATGAGCATTCCGACTGAGGCTGGACATTATGGGATCTTGATTGAAAACTCATGTAAGGCTAAGGCCTATGATCAGGCAGTGAAATTACTAGACAAGCTTATTGAGAAAGATATAGTACTGAGGCCTCAAAGTACCTTCGATATGGAGCCAACTTCTTATAATGCAATTATTGAATATCTATGCAACAATGGTGACACTAAAAGAGCAGAAACCCTTTTCAGACAGCTGATGAAAAAAGGTGTCCAGGATCCTAAAGCTTTCAATAATTTGATCCGTGGGCATTCTAAAGAGAAGAATCCTGAAGCTGCATTTGAATTGCTGAATATCATGATCAGGAGAGGGGTCCCATCAAAAGCAGATGCCTACAAGTTACTTATCCATAGTTTCTTGGAGAAAGGCGAACCAGCTGATGCCAAAACAGTTCTTGATAGTATGATTGAGAATGACCACTTGCCTGACTCAGCTGTGTTCAGAGCAGTCATGGAGGGTCTTTTCAATGATGAAAGGGTGCAAACAGCTAGCCGTGTTATGAAGATGATGTTGGAGAAAGGGGTGACGAATAACATGGACTTATCTGCAAAGATTTTAGAGGCTCTGTTCATGAGAGGTCATGTTGAGGAAGCTCTTGGAAGAATTGAGCTATTGATGCACAGTGGTTGTGCACCAGATATCGATAATCTTTTATCAGTTCTGAGTGATAAGGGAAAGACAATAGCTGCTCTGAAACTTCTAGATTTTGCTTTGGAGAGAGATTTTACATTGGACTTTTCGAGCTATGACAAGGTGCTAGATGCCCTTATAGGTGCTGGTAAGACACTAAACGCATACTCAATATTGTGCAAAATATCGCTAAAGGGCGGTGTGACTGATAAGAGCAGCTACGAGAGTCTAATCAAAACCCTGAATGAGGAGGGAAACTCGAAGCAAGCTGATGTTTTATCAAGAATGCTGAATGGTGATGTAGGTGATAGTACTAAGAAAGGAAAGAAGCAAAAGTTAGTAGCATCTTAATTTTCCTAATTTTTTTAAACTTTCTTTTTTCCTGTTGGTAGAATTAAAGATGGATTTTGATCTCCCTCTTCATTATCAGGGTTAAATAATACTGGAGGAGACCTGTTGTGTATTTTATACTTATCAGTTTTGTTGTTCTTGTAGACAATTATTGAAATTTGGAAATTGAATTCAGGATCTTATTTTGCTGTTATTATTGGTGCTTGATTGTTTAAAAATTGTTGCTTCTCATTGGTGGAATTCCTATTGCTATGCCAACAGTTTTATCTGTTACCATGGCTATAGGTTCCCATAGCCGAGCAGGTTGGTAACAAGTAGCAGTAACATTTTAGTTCAAAGGTTATGGTTGTAATTTTTTTTTTTTAATAGATTCTAGACTATGAGCTATATATCTGTATCCGTTAGGGTGCAATAACGAAGAGAATGACAGCTACAGAGGAAATGGCAGGCATGGATGTACTTTGCAGTGACAAAACAGGAATTCTGAAATTAAATTAGTTGTCTGTTGACAAGAACCTTGTTGAGGTTTGGTTTGCTTTTTAATTGCTTTTTTTAGTTTTTTCCCTTCATTAAACACAATATTAGGCTATTAGCACCAGTTAATTTTGAATATTCCTGCAGGTTTTCGTCAAGGGAATTGATGCAGATACAATGGTATTGATGGCTGCTCGAGCCTCTCGAATGGAAAACCAAGATGCAATTGATGCTGCTATAGTTGGGACATTAGCTGATCCAAAGGAGGTAATCTAATTATCTAAGTAATATTAGGAAACATGGTTTTTCACCTTATTTTGTCCTGCTCTCATTATACTCTTTCCCCAATGAAAAGGCTCGCCTAGGCATTCAAGAAGTTCACTTCCTTCCTTAATCCAACTGATAAGCATACAGCTCTGACGTACATTGACAGTGATGGGAAAATGCATAGGGTTAGCAAAGGTGCACCAGAACAGGTATTATCAAAATTTACCCTTTTTCTCAATTTTTGACCAGTCTGACACGTTTATATTCACAATTTGGCTTATTGCTAGATCTTAAATCTTGCTTATAATAAATCGGAGATAGAGCGCAGAGTTCATGCAGTGATTGATAAGTATGCAGAACGAGGGTTTAGGTCCCTTGGTGTGGCATACCAGGTAACCATTGTTCTCTGCCTATATGCTTTCCTTTCTTTATGTCTTCTTCTCTTTCCTCTTTTTTTTCCTTTTTTTTTTTTTTTTTTTTTGTTTTTGTCCTGACTTCTTTCTAATTTGAACATGTATTGAGGTGTATGTCTGAGATGTTTATGCAGGAGATTCCTGATGGTAAAAAGGACAGTTCTGGAGGTCCATGGCAGTTTATCGGCCTCCTTCCTCTTTTTGACCCACCACGACATGATAGTGCAGAAACAATAGGGAGGGCACTAGACCTTGGGGTTAATGTAAAAATGATTACAGGTGCATACCTTCCTTTTGCAATCCTTTATACATATCACACTTGCTTTTTATTGCAGATGTGAACAAATTAGTAAACTTTAGCGGTCACCTTCTTGTTGCTTCACAAAATCACAATAAGAGGTCATTATTACTTAAAAAGAGATGTGTCCATAGAATACTCTTTTTTTAAGTATTTTTTTATCCATAGGCTGTGCAATCTGAAAGTGTTGTAGTTAGGTCTGTAATGATTAAAATTGAAATATTTTTGCTCCTGATTTCCTTTTGTTGTTCCAATTATATGTGATATTTTAGAGTAGCATCAATAAGGTTTTTTTTTGTCTTATTTAATGAGTACACCTGGTATGTCTTAGCAAGAAGTTATAAATTGAGAATATATGTATATACAAAGACAGCAGCAGGATGTTCAGTTTTGGCGATTTACAAAGAATGGTATTTATACGGTTCGATCAGGTTATTGGCTTGCAAAGCTGGGTTCAAATAGTGTGAGCGAGGTGGTTGCGGAGGAGGAGGTGTGGTGTGCTGTTTGGAACACAAGAGGCCCCCCAAAAATTAAGGCACTTTATATGGAATGCGGTGAAGGGGAATATGGCGGTCAAGGAGAGGCTTATGCATCGTCATATCACATCCGATGCTCTTTGTCAACTGTGTGGGGTAAATGAGACCGTTTATCATGCATTGTTTGAATGTGTGGTAGCAAGGAATATATGGCAGTACAATGATCTTAGAGCAAATTTGGAGGATGCACCGAATGAGGACCTTGCGGAGCTATGGCTGTGGCTTTGTAAAAAGTATGATGCAGGGGTCGTGTGTTTGATGGCTGCTCTAATGTGGGCTGCTTGGAGGGGGAGGAATTTAACTCTGTTTCAAGGTGAGAATCCGAATGGTGTAATGTTGGCTGCGGATTTTGTGAGATTGGTTCATGACTTCAATACATATGCAAAGAGGGTGCTGCCAGCCCCCCCTTCTGCTGGTCAACCTCAACAGGCTACTTGTGCGCAATGGAAGAAGCCTAGTCATGGATGGGTCAAGGTGAATTTGGATGCTCATGTATTGGAGGGGTGTAAGGTGGGGTTGGGAGTGGCTATACGTGATGCGGAGTGTCATTTACTAGCAGCAGCAGTCAAGGTCTCACACTATACATCCCCAGAAGTGGCTGAAGCTATGGCGATCAGATAAGCGTTGCAGGTGGCGAGAAGACTTGGGTATGATCGAATCGAGGTGGAAAGCGATGCGCTAAATGCTGTTCATGCAGTGAAGAATGCAGATTATGGGATGTCTCCTATTCACTTAGTCTATGAGGGTATTTGGAAGGATAGCATGTTGTTTGTAGTTTTGCTCATATTAAAGGATCTTGTAATATGGTAGCGCACCTTATTGCAAGGTGGGATACCAGTACTAACTTGGACCTCTTGGTTAATCTTATAATATAGCTTGTTCGGTTGGGTCCGTTCCCTCAAAGTATCATCACTTTGGCGGAATTGGATCTTGGACCTCTTGGTTAATCTTATAATATAGCTGCTATCTTTTCTTTTTTTAAAAAAAAATTACTTGTTTATTCTAAAATCCAAATAATAATTAAGGTTAAATGTACATAGCGCCTAAATTTGAATAATGTTCATTTGGGTCCAAAATTTAAATAAATTAGTTATCAAAATAGACTATTAAATGTATACATCAATACATGTAGATAATGAGTTATTATTTCATACAAAGCATAACACAAATTAATTTTGGACTTGTATTTTACATGCTTTTTAAAAAAAAATTATTTTCAAGAAGATGGTACAATCTATCTATAGTAATATATAAAGTGAAATGGGTTTTGGGTGATAAATTTTTCTTTCCCAAAATACCCTCATTTTTTATTTTCTATATATATATATATATATATACTACCTCCGGTTTTTTTTGTGTGCAACTTTCAAGCTTTTTGCGGTTCACGAAGCAAAAGATTGAAGGGCAAAGATCAATAAAAGTGAGTGGGTTTAATTAAAGGAGAAGGAGAGAGAAAGTGTGGCCACCTACAAAGTATTTTGGTGGGAAAATCTGGCCAAAAGTACAAAGCCAAATTTTCCCCCTCATTTAAATCTGCCAAAAACAGAAGTAATCAAATTTTTCATGTAAAATTTGTTTCCCCCCAATTTTTCAAAAAAAAATCTGCCAAACTAAATTTTTTTTACATTTCAAGGGAGGCTATAAAATCAGTCACCTTTTCGACTTTGCCCCCAAAATTCCAACATTTAATGAGGCTATAAAGGCAGCCTCCATTGTCACTAAATTCATTACAACCATTAATTTTAGCAGCTGGGTGAAACATTCCAGCAAAAATCAGAGTTTCATCCCAAAAAATTACAGATTTCTACGTTCACCGCTACGGTTAGTTTAATTACACACTAACTACACTGTTCAAAGATTTACAAAAAAAGGCTGGTCTGCTGTCATTGAAGCACATCTGGGTATCATCTTCATCTTCATCTTCACCCCAGCAAAAATCAGCAGACCCCTCATCATTATCTTCCTGTGCTGATTAACACAAACACATGGCAGAGTATGGTGATTCTGTTTTTTTCGATGTTGAACACATACTAAATGAAGAACAGATGGCAGAGTTGTGGTTTGAAGAAGAAGAAGAAATGCAGGATGCAGGCTTTTGGGGGTATGAATCAGAAGATGACAACATGGATGGTAGCCAAGACAAAGAACAACAACAGTCACACAGTGAAGGTGAGGTTGATTCCTCACAAATGCAACAACAACCACAACAAATGCCACAACAACCACCACAAATGCAACAACAACCCCAACAAATGCAACAACAAATTGTATGCAGGAAGCAACTGCCAATGCAAAAGAAAAGGCAAATTGTAGATGCAATATTGGTGAAAATGAACAATGGCATATTACCTAGGGGTCACTTGAAGCAGTTATCAACTCAATTCAACGTACACAAATCAACAATAACAAGAATATTCACAGATATAAAGAAACAGCTGGCTGAAGGGGACTTGATTGATGTCAAGACTTAAAAAATTGGCAGAACAGGGAGAAAGCCAATGGAAATTTCTGATGAAATTCTATAGTCAATCCCATTACATTTAAGGCAGACTGAAAGGAGCTATGCAGGAGCATTGAAGATCAGTCATAGCACAGTTCACAATTTGAAGAGGAGAGGAAGGCTAAGAACACACACAGCCTGCAACAAGCCAACACTGTCATCAGACCATAAGGTGGCCAGACTTAGATGGATTTTGTCACACATAAATCCATTTACAGGAAATCAGGATCCCACATTTGTTGACATGAGGAATGTCATACACTGTGATGAGAAGTGGTTCTACTTGAACCCTGATAAAAGGAGGTTTTATCTACTGCCAAGTGAGGAGGATCCTTACATGGCAGTTCAGTCAAGATGATTCAAGCTCAAGGCAATGTTCATGGCAATTATAGGGAAGCCATTATATGGCATAAATGGAGAAATGTTACATGATGGGAAGTATGGCATCTTCCCATTCACTATGCAGCAATTGGCACAGAAATCAAGCAATAAAAGGCCAAGAGGGACTTTGGAAACAAAGGCACTACAGAATATAAACAGAGAAGTTATCAGGGAGATGTTGCTCACAAAAGTTATCCCAGCCATCAAGTCAAAGTGGCCAGAAAGTCTGGCCAAGGATATGGTAATCCAACGGGATAATGCTAGGCCTCACCAAGTTCCAAGGGATGCAGAGTTCATTGAAGCTACTACCACAAATGGCTTCAACATTCAATTTATTTTTCAGCCAGCACAATCACCTAATTTGAATGTGCTTGATTTAGGGCTGTTTAGGTCTATATAATCATTGCAATATCAGTCTTTTCCTAAAGACTTAGATGAGCTAGTCCAAAAGGTGAAAGACTCTTATGACACATTCAATCCAGAGGTTAACAAGTACATCTGGGTAACTTTGCAAAATTGCATGATTAAAATACTGAAGGTAGAAGGTGGTAACAAGTACAAGATTCAACATATGAACAAGAAAAAGCTTGAGAATATTGGCATTCTACCAGAAATAGTTGTAGTCCAGAAGGAGGTAGTAGTGGAGGCTGTGGAGTATCTAAACACTATGTTTAGGCCAGCTAATCAGGGCAATGAAGAAGTCACAGAAGAATTGGAGGTGAATGCAGATTAGGGGACTCAATACAAGAAAAAGACAACACATGTACTGCCACACATAACCACTTACCTATGTAAGTTTGTTTATTTGTGTTTTATTTCACATGTTGAAGTACCAAGTGGTTAGGTGTATTTTGTTGATTACAATTATTAAAACATGTAAGGCAGTATGTTGTAAAGTCTTTAGATTATGGTATGGTCTTTTGTAATGTACTTTCTTAATTACTCAAAGGTATGCTCTTTTGTACCCACATTTTAAATGGTAGCAATGAATGACAAAGACAAACAATTGTTGGGGCCATTCAATCCATCAGAGGGGTTAATAGTCATTGTTGAATACTACACTAATGCACAAGGGTATCTTAACAACAACAGCATTATGCATGTTGTTGGAGCAATTCACTTGTGCTTAGTCAAATTCAATGGAGTCCCTTCATCATGTGGATTTGGGTAAGGTGAATGTCAAATCAAATTATGGGACTCAAAACAAACCAGGATACAGAACCTATTAACAGGGGACTCATTGTAAGGGACTGACTAGGCAGAAAGGTTACATGTAGAAGATACCAGCCTCATCATTCATCAATCAAATCCACTTTGCCAACATAGTCCATCCCAAGGAACAACAACACAATCATAGCCACACAGCCAACATGGTCCATCCCATTTAACAACAGAACTTTCAAACAACACAACCAACATCATACATCCCAATCAACAACAACACAATAAACTCAACACAGCCAACATCAAACATAACCCGATTAAGTCCATGGCAGTCAACAACAACACAATCAACTACACACACCCAACACAATACATAAGCCAACATAGTCCATGCCAATCAACTCACTTCCAAATCATCAACATAAAAATCACTACGAATTGGAGTATTTGAAACCCAGTACATTCCAACAAAAGAAGAGAACATGCAATTCATAGAACATAACCAACCCTAGTATCCACACACGCATCAACCCATCAAATTACCAATAGTACACAGCGAAATAACATAACCCAGGGTAACACCAAAAACCCTAAAACCATCATGCAACCAGATCTAGTCAAACATTCCCACAACAACAACCAAATAACAAAGCAAACCAATACAGTATGGCAAAAATCAAAAAATTAAGGAGAATTTTTTTTTTTTAAAAAAAATTAGAGAGTTAGGGTTAGGAAGAGTTACGCAAGGGTCAGTGCTCAGCCTCCTCATCAGAGGAAAGCACGACGAATTCTCGCTCCGGCAAACCCCAAATTCGCCTCAAAGCCACCAAGGCCGCCTTCCTACGTGGCCTAATCTTCGCTGGTGGCCTGGAAGGCTCAGATCGGGCCTTGGGAGGGGGCGCAGCACTGCCATCCTCACCTTGGGACCCCAGATCTACACGGACAACATCAAAATCAAGCTTTTTGTGGCCACGGGACTCGCCTACACCCTTCTCCTTCGTTTCTGCTCAGCCTCATCAATATTCTTCAGAATTTCCCCTAACGCCTTGAAAGTGGTTGGCGAACAACAGCTTGGCCCATCTACATGCGCGTATAGGCGACGGGGAAAATCATCGCCTCTGTTGATATCATTAATCAGGGACTTGATAAGAGTGGCCTCGCTGATGTCGTCGGTGCCAATGTACGCGTCAATTAGTGGATCAAGGTCTTTCAGCGGAATGGTGGCATTTGGTTTTCGAAGCAAAGGTGAGGGAATGGGAGATGTCATGATGTAAACTGGAGAGGAAGGCGAAAGAAATGAGGAAGGCGACAGAAAGGAGGAAGGCGAAAGAAAGGAGGAAGGCGAATGAAAGGAGGAAGAAGAAGAACCAGATCTAGGGTTCTTCAAAAGAAGAGTCTAGACCACTTTTAATCAGGTGGTTGGGAAGATGGAGAGTTGTGTCGGTTGGGAGGAATAAATGGAGGGAGTGATTAGATTAGGGTAATTTAGGTTAATGGAGTTAAGTGGGGGTTATGGGTAATAAGGGGTAAAAGTATAAAAATCTGAATTTTTAATTAAGGGTAATATAGTAATTTTCAGTGTTTTTTTAACCCAAAATAGATATAAAAGAGAAAGTTGCACATAATAGTGAGCGGACTAAAATGACAAAAGTTGCACATAAAAAAAAACCGGAGGTAGTATATATATATATATATATATATATATATATATATATATATATATATATATATATATATATATATATATATATATAACCCTACCTTTATTTTTTTTACAAAAAATAACTACCATCAATAAAAAAAAAAAAAACTACCATCCTTTATTAAAAAAATAATTAAAAGCTACTTTTTTTTTTATTTTTTTTTTACAGTACTATTTTTTTTTTTTTAGAGAAGTCATATCCTTCTATTACCTCCCTAATTTCATCAATTTTTAAACACACTAATATTTTTTAATAAGAATTTTTTTTTTAAAGATTAAGGTAGATAATATTTCATGAAAAAAGGTAAAATCGAGTCATATAAATTTCTTATAATGCACACGCAATGTGCGTGTGTCTCATAACTTGTAATGATAATGGGAGTTGGCACTAAAGCCACTAACTTTAATTAATACATGGTATTTTCAAATAAATGGTATAATTACAATAATATTAGTGAGTAAGATCTTTGTTTAACGAGGTACCCCTTTAGAGGAATGAAGTGAAATACTTCGTATGATGTTTCACCACATTAAATTTCATGGAATGTGCAGGTATTTGTTGGTATGATAATTAATTAAATTGATATATCTTTCATACCAAAAAAAGTTGTTATGGAGACTATCATTGAAGTTTCCGTTATTGTTGGTTTACTTTGTTATGTTGTTGGTATTTCTTAAAAGGCTGACGAAATAGTACTGCATTTCACAATTTCGAGGCATTGTTCTACAAAAGTGGGTGACATTGTACTACAAAATTAAAGTGGGTGGCAGAAAGCAAAATTACTTTATTTCTTTCTTTTGGAGTCGCATGACTTTTTTTTTTTTATATCTATTCTAATTTATTTAGTGGTCCTTACTAAAGGCATGAAGGCCTCTAGTAGATAGAACATCTCCAATGGTAAGCTACAAGGCTTGCTTTGTCACATCAATATTTAAGCTGCAATATTTTTTGGCTACAAAGTGTTCCAATGGTAAGCTAGAAGGGTCTTGTAGCTTGCAAAAAATAAAATATAAAAAAATTAATAGTTTTACACATGCCACAATATTAGTCGAGTTTACTTGTCTCATTTCTAATCAAGCAATGTAGCTTGTTTGGGCTACAATAGCTTGCATATTGCTCAATTTTTTGTTTTCCAATGGTAAGCATATAGCTAGACATTTTATTATAATTGCAAGCAAGTCCTTATAATGAAACCATTGAAGTTGCTTTTAGAGCCTGAGATCTTGCCCTTTTTTACTACTTTATAACTTTATACGCCATATTATCAACATGAAAAAAATCACAAGGATGAACAGGCCCTAAACGAAAATGATCTAACCTTAAAAGCACGACGAAATTCCGTAAACAAAATTTTCATAGCCTATATGTTGTTCGACTCCTGTGAAGTACAAAAAACTGATGATTAAGAAAGAAAATATGCGCACTGCAAGATAGTGAAAGTGAAAGAGAGAGAATGTGTGATAAAATAGTTGTACTTGTACCTACCAACCTGGTACAAGTAACGACCCACGATTCTCCAAATTTTCTCAAACTTACGACAAATACTAGAATCCTCCATCTCTTTTCTAGAGAAAGCCAAATTCTACACCAACACAACACCCCCAAAATAAAGGGAAAATAAAGAAGCGTATAATAATAGTGAAGTGAGCAGAGTATTGCACATTTGCACCCACCATTTTTTCACTAACTTTTCTTTTTGCTAATTCACATTATTCTTCATCTTATTCTCTCCAGAATGTTCAACTTTTTTGCGATATAATTTTACTTGATTCTTCGTCTGTTTTTGGGATTTGAAATTTGCAGAAAAGTTAGTTGAAGATGGGTGACTCTAAGGAAACTATGGAAGCTGTTTTGAAGGAAGCTGTGGATTTGGTATGATCATTTTTCATGGTTTTTTGCTCTTAATTTTTACTGTTTTTACATGGTTTATTTTCTGGATTTTTCATGATTTCTGCATTTTTGTAATTTCCATGGTTTTTGGTTTCTGGGTTTTCATGGTTATTTTTGGGTTTATGGGTTATACTTATTAGTTATTACGGTGCTTTGGGTTTCTCTATCTTTATTATTCTGTGATATTTTCATGTCGTTTTTAGGTTTGTTTAAGGCCTAC